TCTCTCTCTGTTCAGTTTAATTTCCTATCACATGACATACGCAAATTATCAACATAAACCGCTTGATAGTAAACAGATTATAAGAGTTTACATGTAAGCTTAATGTTGAAATTATCTTTTATTTAACTAATCATAACTACTAGTTAATTGACAACCGGAAATATAAATATCAACAAAAATAACTGTGAACATAGGGATTAATAAACATATCGAGCTTAATGATTATAATTTATCAATGGATTGTCATTAGGAAAACTATATTATTTTTTTCATCAAAGACTGACGTCACTGATAGATGTCATTGAGGAGCAAGCAACACTGAACAAATGTTTCCTCCTCGTATGATACCTGTTTAGACTTCGCAGATGACCTGGCTCATCTTTCGCATGGAAGTGCAAGAGAAGACGACCAGTGTAATAGCAGCCTCAGCAACAGTAGGTCTCAGCATACACAAAGGAAAAAACAAGATCCTCCGATACAACACAACATGCACCAATCAAATCACACTTGACGGAGAAGATTTGAAAGGTGTAAAAACCTCTACATATCTGAGCAGCATGATTGATGAACACAGTGCATCTGATGCACATATGAAGTTGCGGATCAGCAAAGCAAGAGCAGCATATCTACAACTGAAGAATATCTGCAACTCAAAACAATTGTCTTCAAGCCAACACCGAGGTCAGAATTTCCAATACAAATGTCAAGACAGTTCTATTGTATGGGGCCGAAACCTGAAGAACTACGAAAGCCATCATCCACAAGATACAAGTGTTTATTAATAGTTGTCTAGATAGAATACTTCGGATCAGTTGGCCAAACACTATCAACTGTGGGAAAGAACAAACCATATTCCAGCTGTGTAAGAAATCAAGAAGAACCACTGGAAGTGGATAGGACACACATTGATGAAAGCACACAACTGCGTCACAAAACAAGCCCTCACATGGAATCCTCAAGGTCAAAGGAAAGGAAGAAGATCAAAGAACGCATTACACCAAGAAGTGGTTACAGATATGAGAGGAATGAACAAGAATTGGATAGAATTAGAAAGGAAGGCCCAGAACGGAGTGAGTTGTTGGATACTGGTCTATGGCCTTTGCTCCAATGGAGGTAACAGGAGTAAGTGAATGAATGAGGTATGATACTTCTTAGCATTGAGCATTTGTGACCCTAACAGGTACTGAACCTAATAATTTCCAATCCAATATTATGCAGTTAAACGTTAAACTCACAACATATTTCTGACTTGAATCAGTCGCCTATATTATTACAATCATCATTAAATATTATAATAGCCAATTTTAGAAGTCTTAAGTGTACACGGTTAAGGAGTACTATGTTGTGACGTATAAACTATAATATACTCCATGGTTTTCAGTACCTATCTTAACTGAAATCAATTCATAGAGAATATCTCCTACACATCTTTATGTCAATACAAAGTTCTTGATTCTGAGTGCTTCGATAGTATACTGTTATATTTACACTTTTATATAATATATTATCAGTCACAATGAACATTCAATTGGATTAACTATGTTTATTCACAAAACTATCTCTATGTTATATTACTCATAAACAATTACATCATAGATTCAACTCCATTATGTAACAATGATGTATATTCATAACTGACCATACTCAATATCAGCATAATTACTGTTGGGATATTCGGAAAAATATACCAATCATTATCATGTTAAGTCTAATGATGTCCTTGGACTCTAAATGGGCATTCCCTATTGGCCATTTTTTATTTCACACGTTAAATATTGTACAAATGTTGTTTTCTATTTTATGGTACGATGTGGTTTGTTTGGTTGGTATATAAACAGTATATTTGAAATATAACGATTCATATCTCAGAGGCTGAGACTTGTGTTCTGGACTCAACTGGCTGAGCTAGACAGCGGAGCAGGGCCAATCGGGACTCTAGGTCGTACTTGCGTGTTTTGCGTGTCATTGATCCGATTGACAGTACGCTTCGCTCTTATCTGCAGTCATAAGACATAACAATTACTCATATTGTCCTCCAAAATATTTTTAAATACTCAACCTTTTTTGATAGAGTTTTGTTCTCTGACCTAAATGGTTCTTTATCATTTCATGACCTACCTTTTTATCAAAACACAATACACCCTAAAGATAGAAAGACAAAAGAAAAAAAGAAAAGAAAAACGATAATGAATTTGATATTGTTTATGATTAGACTTTAATTTATGATAATCTTACCAATATCTTATTATTTTCTATATGATAACATTAAGTAAATTTGATAATCCACTGTGTTTATTTTTCTTTTTTTCTTTCTCTTCTTTTTTCTTCTTTTTTCTTGCAATAAGCATCAACTGTTTTTCTTTTTTTTCTTTTTCTTTTTTTCTTGCAATAAGCATCAACTGTTTTCTTTTTCTTCTTTTTTCTTGAAATAAGCATCAACTGTTTTTTTTCTTTTTTTTTCTTTTCTTTTCGTCAATCATATAAATAAAAATAAAATAAGCAAATCAAGTCGATATCGTTTTTGTTATGTAGATATCCTTTAAGCAATATAACAACTATCATATACATATATTATCAAATAAATAACCTGAAATTGGGTATACAAATTGTATATATAAATAGATATTCCGTGTTTGATATAATGGTAGAGTAATGTCCTTAGATGACCTTTAATCATTGAAGTTTAAAAATAGGAAAGAAAATATTAAAAGAAAGAAGAACAAGAAGAAAGAGAGTTTGATATTGATCCATTGTAAAAATTACAAAACAAAAACAAATGACAAATATGATTTGTAGTATAGGGGTTGTGGAGATTATTAAGTTTTCTATTGTGATCACGAACCGATTGATGTTAGACCACCTTTGGAAACCTGAAACCACTGGGTGGCCGTTTCATCCTATTGTGGGACTCCTCGGCAATGCGCATCCAAGATCCCGCTCGCTGATTGGTTGATGTTAGACACTATCACTATTGCATGCCGTCTCAGTGGTCCAGTAGGTTAAGCGTTCACGCACGAGACCGAAGGCACTGGGTTCGAATCCCGCGAGCAGGATCGTGGATGCGCACTGCTGAAGAGTCCCACAATAGGACGAAACGGCGGTCCGGTGCTTTCAGGTTTCCAAAGGTGGTCTAACATCAATCGGTTCGTGATCTCAATCAAAAAAATATAATTTGTTTAAGGAAATATAAAAAAAGAAGAACAAGAAGAAAGAGAGTTTGATATTGATCAATTGTGAAAATTACAAAACAAAAAACAAATGATACATATGATTTGATTACGAAAGTTGAAATCTATTTCATTATGAAGAATAAAGGAAAGTAGGTACAAATTGGGAAATTTCTATAGTTGAGATCATGAGTCAATTGAAACAAGACCAATATAGAAAATCTAGAAGCATTGGACGGCTAACTTGACCTAGTATGGGAATTCTCAGCAATGAACATCCACGATCTCACCTTGCAAGATTCGAACCCAGCATATATCGGTCTTGCACGCAAACGTTTAACCTTTAGACCATTGATCTGACATCCAATGGTGTTAATGTCTAACTTCAACTAATCCACGAAATTGTACAATACATACACCATTGTTTTCAGTGACTTACTATCTCATAACTGACTTGAAAACACTAAAAAACCTTTTTGTCCCAGCATGAGGCTTCTCCAAATGTGAATCCACCATCTTTTTTCCAGGTGAAACTATAAATATAACCTTGGTTTATGATTTTCAACTATAAATAAGTATATATATACGAAATATATCTCTTATGATCAAGTATCATCATTCAGAACTACCTTCATAGTTGAAATTGTCACTATTACATATTGTCCAGAACTTTGAAATCTAAATGAATTATGTAAGAATTTATTTCATATCAATATAATTGATGACTGTTATTTATTTACCCAAAACGTCCTGGTACGGCAGAGGGTGAGGAAAGTTAACTCTCCACCTCGAAATGCTCTCACATGGCCAAATGTATACATTTATTGCCAGGGACGTTCTACTCACTGCCTTCTCGCACTACGGGTGCTGTTTACAAAATTGCGAGGACGAAAACCGAATGTCCGACACTTTAATCAGGTTCGTGGATATGAAGGGTCCACCTAGGGGAGTTGGAAAACCCTCATTTCAAACCAATGGGCTCCAGGATCCTGAGGAAACAAATGGTGTATGAACACATTATTGGTCACCAGCTAACATGGGACTGCATCTCCGAACGATGCTTCACTGTAATGTGGATCAGACCCTTGAGTCGAAGGCTTTGGGTATGGCTCCTTAAGAAAACTACCTGCTTTGGTTTGGGAACCCGTGCAGTATCACAGACAACACACAAATCAAGTGACTTGTGTGGCGCATGTGTATTTGCTACCCCTTTGTACCAATATTTGTGTTTTCAAATAAATAATAAAATAAATAAAAACTAAATCAGTAACATTGTTTATTAAGTTTCTATCATGAGATTCCTAAACAAAGTAACTAGTTAAAGTACTTACTTACTTACTTACTTACGCCTGTTATTCTTAAAGGAGCATAGGCCACCGACCAGCATTCTCCAACCCACTCTGTCATGGGCCTTCTTTTCTAGTTCTATCCAATTCTTGTTCATTTTACTCATGTCTATCTCCATTTCCCGGCGTAATGTGTTCTAACCAGAAAAATGATTCACTAGGAACTCATGACAGAATAATATTGAATATGCATATGACTAAATAATTGCAGCATATCACATTTCATCATTGAACTCAACATTCAAAACTCTTCACTTACAATAGTTTGAACAGATAAGATAGTATCCAATGCTTTCGCACAGAAATAACTTATAACTCAAAGCCAACTTCATGCACACCAGTAGGTACATGATCATGTTCCGAAACCTCCAACTAGTAAGTTTTTTTTAAAGAACTGAATCAATTATCTAATTAATAAGATTTTAGAAGCACCATATTATCTTTCTAAAAATATCCATTTTAAAAACGTTTCGCATTTTTGTTTTAGCTTATTATCTCTGGTTTGGTTGGAACGTGTATTTGTTTTCAGCATAGAATTCCTTCAATCTCACCACAATTAATGAATATTATCCAAGTAAGTTTTATGAATATTTTCCATAGTATTTTTTTTCATTGATAAATTAAGATTATATTACTGTTCTAGCATCCAAAGGTGTTAATATCTAACTTCAATCAATCAATGATGCTAGCTCAGTTGTATAGAGGTAAAGAGTTTACACGAAACTGAAAGTCTTCAATTCGAGTCCCGTATGATGGACGGTTGTTTCGTCCTAGATGGGACTCCTTAGCAGTGCGCATTCATGATAACAACCGGCGAGATTTGAACCAAGAACCTTTGGTACTTCCAGGTTTTACATTGTGGTTTACCTTGAACTGAATCATGAACTCAACTCCTACAATCACCACAAAAACCCCTTTCTGAGCAATAACTAAATTGAAACCGGTCCAGTTAATTCACGTTTAAATTCATTATAAGATGATTGTAAACTTGTTTAGATCGCAAACGCTTATTGAAACTAAATATTTTAACGTAAATTGAACTTCACAAATTATGTACAAAATGAAATATTCCCTAAGTCTTTTCAGTACTTCAATTTGAAAGGTCCACCTAAAATGTTTAGTTTAGAAAAAGGAACACTGTTGGGTTACCTAACAAAATCTTATTAAAGCATTTACGCTAAATATACTCACATGACAATTCCTGTAATAATTTTATTTCATAACAAAAATATACAACTGATCTGGAAGAACCTGATGTTGTTAGACTGTTCAACACCAAACCCTTGACTTAGATTGATTGCAAGTTTGTATTAAAATATGGAAATTTTGATCCGTGTCACTTAATTCTATATCCAAACTGAGCTCATGTAGAACTGAAAATGTTTACTGTCACTGTTTATTAATTAGTTAACAATTCAAAGTGTATTCAGTCATTAATACTGACTGAGTTTTATCAATCAATTCACATTGTATGTAATAATTTATGTGGTTCTATATCTTATTCATTGTATTTCCATTTTTATTGATTGTAGGCTAACAACAAGAAGAGTTGAAGCTAATATTCTCTCTAGTTACCGATTATTTAATGATTCAAACAAAACATGTGATAAGTAGTAATGGCTAAGCATATATATATATATATATATGACAGTGGTTACTAGTTGGTGGTCATTTAGATTAAGTAAATGAATAGGGATTGAAGAAGTTACAGAAAGTATGGAAAAGAAATAATATTACAAATTATGTAAACAGTTGTTCTAAAGTTTCTCATATTATTTGTATGGATACTTATACACATGAACTTATCTACAACAACAGTTCTAAATGTTCTGAAATGATATATGTACATTAACGTATTTTTTAGCAAAGTTGTTATTGAGGAATAAGACTGCTAAACCAATACTTAACCCTTATCTCGACATGAAACTAGCATTAAGCTTAGAATATATCCAAGCTACACAATTATTTACCATATAGAGTTGTTAGAAATTTATGAACTGATAAACATAATGAACAGTAATAGATTTATGTCCATTGCGTTTCACTGATTCCAATGTATCAGCCGGGAAATTTTAATTTTTCTTAAGTGGACAGAGGGTTGATTTATGAACGGTGTATTTAAAATTATTTCCTGTGCCAGGACGAATCAGTGATAATTATCTACAACAAAAGAAAGGAAAACGAAAACAGAGAGCGCGTAACAACATAGCGATAATTGTTAAAATATGTCATTCAGGTCTACCATAATGCATGTGTCATATAACACAGTGTTATACTGTTCATGTTAGATATTATTCAAATTAGTTAAGGTTACCAGGGACAATGTTAACGTAAAGTAACAGTAGGTAGGTGGTTTTAATTAGGGAATTCACTAATAAAAATGACTAAGCATTTAAAGTTCTTATAATATCACTTGTAGAATGAGATACACTTACAGGTGATAGAACATTTAATGCATTTTCAAAGGAGCAGTGGGTGAGATTACAATTTATGGACAACGTTTGAACGGTGCTCAAGCGACCTTCAAACTGTCTACCGAATAACTAGGACTAAATAAAGGTTATAAGCCAGTATGAAGAATTTGAATGATGATTTACAGTTGATGATTAAGGTTAGATATTAGATTTGAAGTTTTCATCACGAACTGACATCAGCTACAATGCCAAGAGTGAATTTCTTGCCAAAAGTCCAAACTTGTTATCTTTTACCTCATTGGTTCATCCATAAATGATACATCGGTGCAGCGAACAAATAATGACTGATTTTATCATATGGATAGAAAAGCAAGGTTCTCCGATACAACACAGAATGCGCCAATCCAGTCACAATTGACGGAGAAGATTTGAAAGTTGTAAAAACCTTTACATATCTGGACAGCATCATTGATGAACAGGGTGGATCTGATGCACATGTGAAGGCGTGGATCAGCAAAGCAAGAACAGCATATTTACGATTGAAGAACATCTGGAACTCAAAACAAATGTCTGTCAACCAACACCAAGGTCAGGATTTTCAATTCAAATGTCAAAACAGTTCTACTGTATAAGGCGGAAACTTGGAGAACTACGAAAGCCATCACCCAGAAAATACAGGTGTTTGCTCACAGTTGTCCACGCAAAATACTTCGAATCCGTTGGCCGGACACTATCAGCAACAACCAACTGTGGGAGAGAACAACCAGATCCCAGTAAACAAAGAAATCAAGAATAGGCGATTGAAGTGGATAGGATACACATTGAGGAAAGCACCCAACTGCGTCACAAGACAAGCCCTCACATGGTATCCTTAAGGTCAAAGGAAAAGAGGAAGACAAAAAACACGTTACACCGCGAAATGGAGATAGACATGAGAAAAATGAACAAGAATTGGACGGAACTAGAAAAGAAGGCTCAGGACAGAGTGGGTTGGAGAATGCTGGTCGGTGGCCTATGCTCCATTGGGAGTAACAGGCGTAAGTAAGTAATAGATTATTCCAGAGTCTAAAAAAATTCACATTTAAATTAATTCATATAAAGAAATAATTTAGAATGAGTTTATTTCACTAATGACAAAGAATTACAGATGTTATAGTGAATAGTATCTGTACATTGAATTACATGATTAAATATAAAGAAGATTTTAGTTCAAGTCTCCTCTTCCAAATAAAGGATCGAGCAAAATATAGAGTTCATTTTAACTATTCAATATCGATTACTGAATAAGAAATTAAACCAACCAAGTAAAAGGTTTTAAATCCGAGTTCACTCATAGAAAGTTGATTAGTTAACCATATCATCAAGATACAATCATAATCGTTTCAACATGATCAAACTTCTTCTATTAATGATTTAATAAATTATTTATTTTATTGAATCTTATCATTTTAGATTATATCTGGTATATTATCATTAAGTTGTTTTATAATATGTCTTACAACAAGTATATATACTGGTAAAAAAGGTAGTTTAATTGCATCTTATGATAATACATGTAAAATGATATCAATAGAACAATTATTAGAACAAAGACAACAACAACAACAACAACAACACCACACCCAACAACAACAACATCATCACCCCCAACAACATCATCAACCCCAAGAACCCCAACAACAACTTACATTCAATACAAAAATAATCAATAATTCAATTAGTAATAATAAATCATTTTAAAACCATGTTGTATAGAACTTATTAAAAATATATGTGAATGTTATATTAATTATAATAAACGTATAGAATATTATCATCATATTTCATGTCATTTATTATTTTCATCAATTAAAGATTATATAATATTACAATCAGCATTAATGTGTATTGGTTGTGGTGTATCATTATGGTTATGGTTATTATTTATAGAAAATAAATTAAAATATTATATTAATAATAAATATACAAGAATAAGTTTTTCATCAACACGTAGTTCAATCCCTGAAATATTCATTGAACATAATGATGAAAAAACAAGTAGTACAGATATGAATGAAATGGAATAAATAATCGATTTTAGATCATTGAGAACAATACAGATGATCTCATTTCTATGAATCTATAAACAATATAAAATACTATTCAATTGTACATAATGAACATAAGTAATAATTTGGTGTGCTGTTAAGAAATTGAAAGTTTGTGTATAATAAAGAAAATATTTTTAATTGCTTCACCACCTCCTCCTCCTCCTTTCTTCGTCCTCCCCTGGTCAATTTCAATGCCAATTCATCAATAGTAATCTTGACTATTAAATGATCTATTTTGTATTCATTATTATCTTTCATGATAATAAAGTAAATTAATCAATAATCAATAAATGTGTAGTAGATTATAGATCAAAAATTTCAGGAACTTGTTATTGAATTCGAATGATCTACACTTTCACTTATTTATTTATCTTTAAAATTTGAAATCTGTCAAGATTTTGATTATTTCGGTAATCTGTAAACAATATGAAATACTATTCAATTGTACATATTTAACATAAGAAATGAGTCAATATTAAATGAGGAAACTCTCCAACTGCTACTCCTCCTCCTCCTCCTCTTCCCCATTCCATGGCTAATCTCAATGCTAATTAATCAATAGTAATCTTGACTATTAAATGATCTATTTTCTATTCATTATTATCTTTCATGATAATAAAGTAAATTAATCAATAATTGTGTCCATCTCTATTTGATCAGATCAATAAAATTTTGTTATAAATCTTTACAATGGAAACAAACAAAAGTGTTGGTTATACAGTTTTCCATTTCATTATTGAAACAAACAATCTTCTCTCTCTCTCTCTCTCTCTCTCTCTATATATATATATATATATATATATATATATATATATATGTGAAGACATGTAACTAACTGTAAATTTTATAATTATATATATTATGTAATTGATTATTGAATCTTTATTGATTATTGTATTATTGAATTACTATTGATTATATTTTTTGTTGTATGTTTAACTTTTGCAAATATACCTCATAATAATAATAATAATAGTTGTTATTATAGAAAATTTTTTTGTCAAAATATCCTAACTCATTACAATATGGTAGTTTCATCAGATAATTGAAATCAACTGTTGGAGTAAATCCCTCAGTTAAATAAATGGGAGGGATCGTGGATGCGCAGTGCTGAAGAGTTTCATACTGGGACAAAACGGTCGTTCAATGCTTCTAGGTTTTCTATGGTGGTCTAGCTTCAATTGACTGATGAATTCAACAACTAAACTGCCATAATATCCATAAACCCCTCTCTGATTATAATCATCATATGGTCATGAATGACAGTCTCCAAGAGGTATTTCCTGTAGTCCTAGTGAAAAGCCGTGACTGGTGGAGTTCAACCAGGTATGTAGTGAGATAGTAACTCACTAATGCCAATGGTGAATGTGACGCTCAAATTCTTGGATTAGTTAGAGCTATACATTAACATCGTTAAATACCGGCTCAGTGGTCTAGAAGTTAAGTGCACGCGCACGAGACTATTAGGTCCTGATTTCGAAACTCGCGGAGAGGGGACGGTGTCGTGGATGCGCATTGCTGAGAAGTTCCGTACTAGGAAGAAACGGTCGTCCAGTGCTTCCAGATGTTCCATGGTGGTCTAGCTTTAATTGACTCGTGAATCCAACTATTAAATTGCTAAAATATCCACAAAACCGCTCTCTGAAATTAAACATTTAACCATAAGTATTGACTTAAATGGCAGATAATTTTTTTAATCAAAATAGTATCATTACTGTATCATTATCAATTTACGTTGATTTCTTCCCTTTTAAGACTTACTGTTAATCACTACAACAAAATGGGGGATTGTCTTGGAGAGAGGTTTAAAGAAGCGACCACTCAACATAGATGTAGAACTGAACAATCTTTTGGAAATAAAGGATGCAACAACAAGGTGTAATATTATATAAGTTAGTTTCCTCGCCCCCACCTTTGGATCTCAATTGAAAATAAACAATATATGACCGTAAAACAATAAAAATTATTGATGTGTAATCTGTAGTAGGTCACAGGTCTTCCAGAACAATACTCAGGTTTCGAAAGCTTGTAGTGAACTATCATAAGTAAATTCTAATCGTTTCTCCTTCCTTTTACTTTGTATCTGAAATCTGTTAAGATTCTGGTTACTTCATAAGCATCTATCCATTCTTTCGGGAGCCAAGTAAGGAATAAAGCTGTTGCGCACTCTATTTTCACTCTAATATTTCCTTCAGTTCTTTCCGAGTTATTGTATAGCCAGTACAGCTTTATGACCGCCTCTAATTCTAATAAGAAATCCTGGTGTATTGCTGATGTTTATGAGTCATTCCAAAGTTTCATGTCTGTTTCTATCCAGTACATTCACAATCAGACACAATTGCAACATAAACATCACAAGAATCCCTCGATATGCGATGAGGATATCTTATCCATTCAACATTCATTGGAAACAACTAAGAAACGTCAAAAAAGTGACAAATTGTTCATCACATTATCAATAATTAAAAATAAAGAACATTGAGGCGAACAATCGTTTTTAATAACTTCACAATCAGACTCCACAATTACAAGTTCATAATTATTATATCACAAAAGCCTAATTAGGTCTTGCTAATAAACTAAATAATATTATTAATTACTTGAATCTTCCCATTGATATTCAGAACTACAATTGATCAATCTCTTATCATCACATTGCAAAAGCAAGTGGCTATCTGGACTCAGTTGCTAAGTGAATAACACGATGAGGTTCAAAACGACCGATAATGGATTCGAGTTACAGAGTAAACATTAAATCTGAGATGTAAGTACATCCAGCCGACGAGTCCAAAATAGGATGAAACACGCGTTCTGAATTTCACTGCTAGCTACTATTCATCTTTGCTTATAAACAATGTTAACTTTGTATCTCATGCGGCTTAAATACTACAAAAAATGTATCATCTGTAGGTAAGAAAATTTGTTTACAAAAGGTTAGGAGGATTCGTAGTAAGCTATCAAGTTATAATTAATGTAATAACAAAATAAAACATGGATTAACTACATAGTAAGAAAACTTTAGTCAATAGAGATAATAATAATAATGCCATGTGAATACAATATGTGAAAAAAAGAGGTTTTATCGAAGTAATTATAAACAGAAATTTGTGTGAATTGGGAATGATTAATATGTAAGTTAAGAATGGGATACAGTAGAGATAGACATAAAGAAAATCAGTGGGAGGTAACAGGTTTACAATGTCTAGTTTAGATAACATGGTAGACCAAAGAGAACCTAAGAGTTGAACATACGTGTTTAGGATAAATCGGTTAGGTCTCCTGAATTTGATTAGATAATTATTTACTCTATTACTAAATCTAACATGTTTCTAGAGGTTTCCAACGGTAAAATTTTACTGATAAACTTATGAACAATGTCGTTTTCTGTGCATAAACAAGCCTTGAAGACAAGTTTTTATACTTTACGTCTTCTTTATCATTTGAAGTTCAGCTGTGGGAGAATTTTGGGGTCTAGGATGCAGCTACAAATTCGTTGTCAAGCGTTGAAGTAACAGACTTATCAGGGTCTATTTTGATAAGTCTTGTTAATGTGAACGCTTTATTCGGTTCCTAAGCTATTCTGGTAACCCGAAAGCTAGAACTACGCAGCGACCTGAACTCGAGAGGAAAGGTGCAAAATAAGCGAAAAACACTTTACTCCAAAGGTTCGTTTTTGTACAGAAAAACACGGGTATTTATCGATGTTAACATTTGTTAAATCAACATCATATTTTGGCCAATCCGCTAAAAGACATATTATGCTACTGACCAATAGTAGCACGCCACGTTGATATTCTAGAAAGCTTCATCATGCTCTGGTTAGCTAGGACTCTTCGGCTCCTTTAGGGCCTCTGGAGGCTCCGTTGTAGTTCTCGGAAAGTCGACTCAACATATTTCCCATAATCTAAACCTCTTTTGAGTAATAATCACTCTTGATATTGTTTTGAGATTTCGGTTATTCGTTCAACAAACTCTTTGGCTTTTGGGTAAAAGGTAGTTATTCATGTTATATGCATTCTCAACACTTAACAAAATACTTTAAAAATTCACATCCTTAAAGTTAGAACGTTTATCTGGATCTGACTAAACTGAAGAGTACCACAGCGAATAAATCAGCTTCATACATTGTTTTCTCTACCTTTTTTTACATCCATTCTTTCCAGAAACAATGCTTTATGCAATTTTCAAAGTGATCAATAGTAACTAAATATACATTTTTTCATCAAATACTTTCACGTAAACCTACAATAATGACCGGACTCATTAACTCTTTTTGGATAGTGACGTTTCATATTTTCGAAAGTTATTCGAGGCTAATCTTTGATCCTGAATACTTGATATGTCATACGGACTCATATATAGTGTCATGAATCTTTAACATGATTAAGTAATCAGTATCTCAGTTTGATTATTTCAGTCATCTTATTTTACATGAATTTACATGAAACTATGGAAGGACTAATTGTTATACACAATGTGATATCTAAAAGTTAACAAATTACAAATAGAACAGATAAAATAGATTTCATTTCTTTCTGTTTGAATCAACTTAAATAGGCTAAACACCATACCGATTGCTAATCGATTATTACAATTTATGGTCAATTTGATTATAGCAGTCCTATTTTTATAATTGGAAATACTCAGCTTTACAAAATAAACATTATTCGAGTCTTCCACATGATTTGTATAGCAAGAATGAATATCCGAAGAATGTTTTCAATTTAACTTACCTATACACCTGTTGCTTAACAGCAAAGCATGTTTATAGTTTCAGAAGATTTGGAATAAGCAGAAATTTCAAATCAGTGTCTCATATATAATTACAAAGAGAAACGTTGTTATTGTAAAGAACACATCCATAAGACTAAATCATGTTGATAAATCTTTTGCATTGGTTAAAATTTACAAGCTAATATTTAGTATCTAGCTCTAAAACAACATACTTACTTAGTTACATACGCCTGTTACTCCTC